GGGGAAGGGGAAGGGGGCATGGCTGGTTATGTGGATAGGGAATCTGTTTGTGATTGTGGTGGATGGAGTTACTGGGCTCGAGATTCTGTAGGTTTATTTTGATTTTAGAATAGGATAATATTATCACGACATGTCGGTCAGTCTTAGCTAGCTAAGACTCCTATACTCCTATCTACGTAGCGTATATAGATTTCTAGTACCCTAGAGGATTCTACTTAGGTACGGTTATTCTATAAGACCCTCCCTTTGATCTTAGCTAGCTAGTCATCTTTAAGCTCTATCCTACAAGTACATTCTGATAGTGCCTTATTCGTCTTCTGATAATTGGTAGCACTGCTTCGGGACCAGAGCTGATCTTTAGAACGATCCTTAAATTTGGTTATATAGCTTTACGAGCTCGTAAACTAATCCTAAAATAAGGTACTATAAATTAGTATAAGGTATAAGGAATAAAAATACCCCTCTTACGATACTATAGCATTTAATAAACGCTCCTCTATGAGAAAATATACACGCGAGCGCGGCTCTTATCCCTTCGATCCTAGCGTAATATACTTAAGATTTCGATAAGAATCTACCTTATATAGCCTTAATCCTACCCTATTGTAACGAATACTCAAACTGGCTAACTAAACTTGGCTGGGTGTTCGCTGGTTGGTATGCTATGATAAGAAGAAGACTATCGGGTTGTTCACTTGGAAGTGAACTCGTTACTTGTATCAAAGATGTCAAACTAATATGATAAGATTGATAACTAAGTTGAGCACGAAGCTCCTATCTAATGGCAGACGTGCCAGTCTTATATAGAACCTTCATGTTCCTGTGCTAGCTTGCTAGCCCAGTCGCCCCGTCGCTGCAAGACCGCGCGACCGGTCGCCCTGTCTAGCACAACTAGTCACGTGATACGAATGGAATGAAATCCCTGGATCGCTTAGCTAGTCTAAGCATCCCTATTTGCTATGAGAGCCATGATGTGTTTGTCCTGTCAGAACCCCGTCTGGACTAACTCCTCACGTGCTAGCACGTGATTTGTGACACCTATAAGCTAGTAGATATCTAATATTATATAAATTAAAAGAAGCCCTCTTTTCTTATAAAGCGAGCCGACCCTACTCGCGTCACTTTAAACGAACAAGCCTGTTACGCCACGGGCACTCTCGGCTCCACTGTCTGGCACTAGCATGTTCTATGGAAGGCGCTAGTCCTATTCCGGACACTTCCAGGACCACAGACAGCCCTAGGTTAGAGCTCCGCTCTCCCTAGCTAGCTTCTCTCTCTAATCCAGCTTAACCATTCCACATTGTGCCCTCGTCTTCTGACAAAGCCCCTGCGAGCCAACTTCGCGAGGGAAACAAGATATTTAGAAGGGGCAGATTATAGAAGACAGAAGATGGAAGCTTAGTACTTGGAAGGAAGTATAAAGCTTGGAATGAACCTCCGGAACCTACTTTTCTGTCGCTAATAAGCGACATGTTGCTCTCTTAGGAACTAACACTTCTTGTTTTATTACTACTAGTAAAGCTTAGCGCGTCCACCTTTCATTGGTTCGGTTCCGTATTCTGACAGTGTCTTTTTCGTCTTCTAACAGATATATTACTGCTATCCGGTCTATTTTCGCCCCAGTATTTAAATCTGGTGAACTGATATTATAATTCTAGGGGGCTGTGAATCCTCCTATTAGATATAGTGAAACAAGTTCTCTGAATGTCTTCCCTTTTCTGCAGCAAATATGAATAAGAAGGTTGCAGATCAGTGATCATTACTCAGATATACCTAAAATTTCATCACCTCTGAATAACACATCACAGCCTACCTGTTCTATTTAAACCACCATTCCTCCTGCATTATCTCTAGTCTCTCTCATCGCTTGCACCAACTTTACAACAAACCATTACACAAAGCCCGAAATCGACATTTTGAACATGCAGAACAACGATCAGAAAGAACTGGATTCTTCCTCCCCTTCTGGCAGCGTGGCTAGAACTGATACGGCACCGCCAAAGTACTCTGAAAACCCGCCTTCATCATCAGCGTTCACTGAACAAACAGCAACGCCTTCATCATCATCATCCATAGAACAAGCAGCATCAGCAGCATCAGCAGCATCAGCAGCATCAGCAGCACAAACAGTACAAGTACCGCAGGCGGTGCTAGCAACAGAGCCGAGCCCAATCGAGGCAGTGTAGGGAATAGTGTAGTGCGTTCAGTACATAGTACAGTTTCGATATCGTAAAACTAACTATAGTTTTAGTGTTATTAGTAAAACTATAGTGTAAAAACTACTGTACTAACTATAGTGCACTACGATAGTGTACTAAAACTAGGTGTAAAATTAACTATATTTGATGATTTAATCTAGTCTAAATCTATTAATTCTTTAGTAATTAAAGTATTAACTTCCTTTGCTATTTTCTTGTTATCCTTAAGCTCTAGCTACTTAATCTGCCGATTAAGCTTTATTACGGCCTCCTCTATATCGAGTAAACTAAACTAATTTTTAAGATACGAAAGTACGTTAATTAAGGCTATTTCAAGGCGGTTTTATCGATTAGAAATCGTAACTTTAGTACCTAAGAATACTTGTTTAGGACTAGCTAATATTACAAGTATAGAAAGTGTGACGACACGTACGCAAGGCCCACGGTGTAGGTTGTGGAATCGTAGAACTGTCAATTAAACAAAGATTCTAAGCTGAGGAGAAGAGGAGAGCTCGAGAGAGCTTCGATCTAAATACTTGGTGTGGGTCGCTAAGCGAGACCACGTGATCCGAATGGTGGTGACGGTTAGAACCGTCACAGAAAGTACGTTAATAGCTATTTATAATAGATTTAGATACTAGGTTTGCTAAGTAGGTTTTAACTACTATATAATCAGATCTATATAAGTTAGTACGTAAGGAGAAGTATAGTATAACTTATACTCGTTAGATATAGGATTATTATCCTTTAATTCGTACTCCTTGCAAAGGAAGGTAATAAAGGAGTTTTCGCTATCTTATAGGATTAATAGAGTTATATTTAAAGAAGGATTTTTGTCGGATTTTATAGGATAATATTCTAGGTTCTAGAGATCGAGTACTAACTTCCTAGTATCTCCTTAAAGCTTTGTTAACTAGTACTTTTCAATATATTACTACTTATACTTTAGATATAAGATAAGTACGGCGGTATATATAGGCGAATCGCCCGACTTTTAATAGTATTTATTAAGCTTTTTCTACCCGGAATTAAATATACTAGCGAGAATAGGATTATTATAATATCTCTCTTTTACGCGCTCGAAAAGTATTAGATAATAATTAAATATAAAGATTGATCAAGTTTGATTCTCTTGAACAAGCTTGTAAAGAAATTAAATTAAAATACTTAGGTATTTCAGGTGTTTATAAACTAACATCTAAAAATGACTCGCATTCCAATACACACTTTCAACTTTAACGAATCCATGTTCTCATCTATTCGAACAGAAATAACGAAGCAAGCCATTGCCAGACATGGATTACGAAGGTTCTGAGCCTCCGCCACCATACACTCCAAGCTCACAGGCTACTCCTCTACCTTCTTACGAGCCCTGTGCACATCGCCCAAGAGATGAGTGCGTACCGCCAAAGAAGCCCATATATTTCAAATCCGTCCAAGGAATAGATCATCTAACACCAAAAGATACGGGTCTCAACAGGTAGACATGTCTCTATTGCTATACCAAACCTGTCAAATACAAAGCAGGCAACAGTGAAAACAGGCCTTTCTGCAAAGTTTGTCGTCGTGACATGTGGACAGCGGAAAAAGAGGAACAACTTTGGTCTCCAGAAGCGGAAAGATCATACAACAGAACCAAACAGAAGCTAGGGAGGGAAACCTGGCTTTGTGGAAATAATGAGTGCTGCATGTCAAAGCCCGAAGAACAATACAAGGTCAAATCTTATGTTGGACGAAGATGTAGTTACTGTGGAAACGATATGGAATCTCGGAAGTTCCAAAAGACGAAAGCGAAGAATGAGGAAAAGGAGGAGTCTGAACGAAAGAAGAAACAACTTAAAAGGTTACTTTGACGGGGGGTTGAGAATACAAGTGCTGCACGAGTTTAAGATGCATGGCTGGCCATGTCAACGTGGAAGCTTTTAGATGGTGGTGGTGGATACATCCCTACATGTTGTTTATATTCTTTACTCAAATTAGACTACAACTTGAATTCTGAGATGTGTCCCTTTCAATCCAAATGATTCGATGATACCTATAACAATACCAAGAGATGGTAAGGAAGTCTCGATTCTCATTGTTGGCAAGATACTGCAAAATTTTAAAGTTAAATAACGAAAGACTTCATTCAAAGTATCTGCTATAGTTACATTTATGTACCTTATTGTAAATGAAGGCGTCAGAATAGAAAACTTCCATTCCATGAATTCATCACGTCTAGACGGTCTAGCTATTCGAGACCTGGAAATACGATTCAAGCCTTTTTTTACAAGAGCCCCGACTTAATTTTCAACTTTAAATAATTAACCTACGACTAACCATCCAGGACCCACACACTCTAGCACTTGTAATAAGAAGGTATTTATTACATCATGTATCTAGTAAAAGACTTTAAATGTGTTAAAGGGATTATTCATAGGCACAGCGGGGAGAATCGTTGTTTACAGCGAAGTTGATGCACTGTACAGGACCACCAGTGGGACTAGCCCAGAGATCGCGGAGGGGGAAACAGTAATATTGGAGGCCCATTCCATCACTTTGCTCCTGCAGAATAATCTTAGTTCTCTCTACCAAACACTATTAAGTTTAATGTTGGCTCCCCGGTAAGTTATATCGGCTCAAAGAATCGCGCAAAGTGCTTCTATTAGAGTTAATAAATTGACTCTGACAGACGCGAGGTTGTGAGTAAGATAAATCACGAGTCCACTCTCTATCTATGAATGTTTTATAACACTCATAGGTCTTTTGCTCAGCCATTTAGCCTAGGAAGCCTATATATAGGACTCTTCTCTATTCCTAAGTATCCCTTCTCTGACCTTCTACGAATATTACCCTACCCTCGAAATCTTAAATCTACCTTAAACCTTCTTAAAAACACTAAGACCAAGACCATACACATTACTATTGTGAGAGGCCAGACCTCGATTAGCTCAAAGGTGTGGTTTCGAATATTCAATTAAGAAGTGCGTGAAGACTACATACATGCAATCTCTTCCTCTATATATAGAGAGAGGAAGAGTTTCTGGAGTCTTCCAAGAAACTGTTTGACAAATACGTGACGTCAAAAGAATAGAGTAGAAAAGTGTAGAAAAGGAGAAACCAATTTAGCAGTGGAGCAATGGCCAATGCTGAGCGGGGACTTTGGTCAGTGCTTAGCGAGGGCATGGCCCGAGCCTCCATCATGGGTTCCAACCCTCACAACTATCCCCAATATGAACGCAAACATCCAACAGCTTGAAAAGGACCAGACGAGCCAGTCAAGCCAACCTATGGAACCTCAAGGTTCCACGTCAGCCAAACGTAACTCTTATGGAAGGATGCGTAAACCACCAGGCGCAGAACGACGGGTTGTACCAGATTTCGGACCAAATATCATACAATATCACGCATTAAAAGGATTAGAGCTCCAACATTTCAAGAACATTCAGGGCCTAGTTCATATCACGCAGGAAGACACCGGTATCAATGTCTGGAAATGTCTATTTTGCTATACTAAACCCACCCACCACAAAGCACGAGGCAGACCCCCTTGTTGCAAGATTTGCGACCGAGAAATGTACACGGCAAAAGACAAGCGCGATCTTTGGACTGAGGAACACGATGCGGTGTATAAGTCCATGTCTGAAGAAAATAAGTTGCTTCCACTTATGATCAATCCCAGTGTGTTTTGGGTTTGCCAACGCGGGCGTTGGTACGCATGTCCAAATTCAAGTCCTCCTGCACGCCGAGAGTTCAAATCTAAAGTTGGAAGAAAGTGCAGTTGGTGTGCGAAGGAGCTTGTAATGGCAAATGAGAGCGAAGGCCCAACTAATTGAGAGAGGCGCAAGACGTTTTCCTCAAACTCCTTTTCAGCCTTGAGGTCTTCAAGCATGGTTTAGGAAGATGATTATTTCACGGAATTACATTTGCATGGCTGACCATGCGAACTTTTGGAGGTTGTTTATGGTGACTGGCTCATCACTTTTCTTGGTGGGGATGTATGTACAGTATAAAGCGCGCGTTAGTAAGCATGGCAGGCCAGCTCTCTACCTAGAAATAATAGCAAAATTAACATTGTTATTTAATGCCACGATGTGTACAGTACTAGGCGGAAAGTCTAAAAGCTATTTCCCCCTTTTACCACCTTTTACACCAAAACTCGGCATGTTTACTTTAAGAAAAAATACAAAAGATTACTAAGAAATATATACTCCTTTATAGAAACGCTTTATTTCAATACTCTCCTTTATTCTATCTTTTTATATTTTAATAGATTACATAAGGGAGGGAGGGAGAAGAAGTAGTCTATTTTTAGAAATAGTATATTTTATAGTAAATTTAGCCTAAACTCGGTATAAAAATAAGAATATTTAGAAGGTTACGATATATACTAATAAAGACTTTGTAGATAGCTTAATGCACCTATATAAAAGTATCAATAATGTACTCAACGACCCCTAGACCATAAAGTTACAAAATAATACGTACTATATACTCTGAGTAAAGTAAACTGTAACGAATACTCAAACTGGCTAACTAAACTTGGCTGGGTGTTCGCTGGTTGGTATGCTATGATAAGAAGAAGACTATCGGGTTGTTCACTTGGAAGTGAACTCGTTACTTGTATCAAAGATGTCAAACTAATATGATAAGATTGATAACTAAGTTGAGCACGAAGCTCCTATCTAATGGCAGACGTGCCAGTCTTATATAGAACCTTCATGTTCCTGTGCTAGCTTGCTAGCCCAGTCGCCCCGTCGCTGCAAGACCGCGCGACCGGTCGCCCTGTCTAGCACAACTAGTCACGTGATACGAATGGAATGAAATCCCTGGATCGCTTAGCTAGTCTAAGCATCCCTATTTGCTATAAGAGATATGATAGTGCTCGACCTGTCAGGACACCGCCTGGTCTTCACTCATCACATGCTTACACGTGATTCGTGACATAAACCTATACCTACCTATAAACTTAACCCCCTAACCCCCTAACCCTCTAAACTCCTATATACTATAAACCTTATTTCTTAGCCTTCAGATCTAACTAACATCTACTACCTAGTCCTAGAATCTATATAACCCATAGCGCTAGCGTAATAATATATGATCTAGTATTATAACGTATTTTTTCATAATAGAAATATACCCAGAGCTATAGATTCTTAGATCCTCTGTCACAGGTTTCCAACGTATTATAATAGTATTAGCTTCACGCCGCAGGTCCGAGATACCAACTTCCTATCTACCTGATCCTGGTCTATACCTTGTCTAGAGAAGATATCATGATTTCTCCAATGTATCACCACAAAACACAAAAAAGCTCACAACCCATTTCAAGAATCCAACTTTTAATATTCTACAATTACCTAGGTCCCGGTCAAGTCTGTAATATACATGCTACAAGCAAACATTTTGCCGGCCAAAAAACCCATAAACCCAGCTAAATCAGTCCCAACATCTACGACCTTTTCTTTCCTTTGATAGAAACATCCACCGATCCAATTGCCCACGCCGCGAAAAACAAACTCAACATGCTTGCGAAGATAACGATTGGTTTTCGGAAGCCGGCTAGGAAAGGGTAATCGTATGTGATGATCAATTCACGATCCCGGAATTCATCGACAATGTTGATGGCGGTAAGAGTGAGGGCTGTGCGACCGGTTGTGTCCATGAATGTACGGTGGAGTTGAGCGGATGTGCTGACCAATGGGATACTGGTGTGGTATTGGACGTTCCTAAATTTTGTTAGTGCTGGTGTGGGATTGATACGGGAAGTGGGGGGCATACTCTGCTCCTTCTGGGAGAATAACTCTCAACTCAACCCGCTCGTATTCCGTTCCCTCTCTTTGTTTTGGGCCTTCGAGGAAAGGTACGTTGAGAACGTAACCAGTTCCGCTCTTCAATGTGCGCAAGTAATTTTTCAAGTCTGCGCTCCATCCTACACGGAAAGGATAATCCCATCCTCCGAAGACCGGGTATCTAGGCTTGATTTCAAGGCTGGCCTCTCTCCTGTTACTTCTGAATCTTGAGGTAGAGACGTTTCCAATAACATCTGTGAAATATGGATCCAAACTTCCAACCTGCAATGGGAAGGTTAAGGACTTGACCGCAGAAGTAGCAGGATTGTAGTATTGCGCAGAAGCCCATTCCACCCTGGAAAAAGGGTTGGAAAGTTTCGCAGCCCTGTTGGTCATGGTGTACCGTTCTTCGAAAGCAATATTTCCACCCCAGTGGCTAACTTCAATATCCCGCTCCAGCAGAGAAACATGGATCAATGGACTCGTAAATTCGTATCGAACCCGGACAGGCTCATAAGCACCTGCCGGCAACTCTTCGTAAGAGCCATATGTAAATTTGGTTCCTGCCTTCTGCGGAGACTCTCCAACAATAGTGTATTCCGGAATGTTGGCGTTTGAGAATTTGACCTCCGTCTTCTGTTTCAACGTTACATATGCTGATTGGCAGTATGCTGAAAATTCATAAACCAAGAATTGCTTATCAGCCTGGGCAATCGCGGCTGGCAATGGGTTCAAGGCGGAGAGGTAGGAGAAGGATATTCCCAAAGTTTGTTGGGCCTTTGGTTCTAGGGGTGTTGGTAGACGTATGCGGTAGAATTGGGTGTCACTGCCGGATAATTAGCAAACCATGCCGTGTTATGGAGTGGAGTATAGACTCGTACCTCTCGGGATCAAACTCCACGGCATCTACCTGGAAGAGTCCAGCTTCTGGATCTTTTCTGTCCTTTACTTCCAAGCCTCCAATTGTGGCCATCTGCTGCGTTGTGAATGGGATGAAGTACTCATCCTGAGCTGTGCTGGCGATATTCTCAATTAACATATTAATTGACTCTTTTGGATAGCTCTTCTCGAGGTTGATTATGTGCACCAAATTGGCATTTTTGAAGTTCTGCGCGGGCTTGAAATTCGAAGGGAGGATAATCTTCGAGGTAAGTGGTTTCGTCAGATTGCTGTTATCCGAGCAGAAGACTGAAGATGTAAAGGAAAGAACCGCCGTTGCAATCGCCAATGGCCTCATTTTGAAGAAAGCGAGAGATACACAAGGCAGACGTCCAGCCGAAGAATATATCGGGCCTTGATTGGGAAGTCCTGGGCCGAGGGACGTGGTGTTGTTGGGATTTGTACTGGAGTACGGGAAATGTCTTTGGATCTGGTCGCAGCTCCAGCTCTCACAGCTTACGTCTGCGCTGCCTCAAGGTGTCCTCTCAAGGTCCTGGTCCCTCTTGAGTTCAGCCTCAAGTGTGGCGGTGCGCCAGGAACAGATGTGACAGGGCACCACCAGTGGACAGGGGCTGGCTTAGTAAGCGTCCCCCCACGCGAGTGTGACGGCTGCCTTCTTTTTCTCTCCAGACCCATACATCCTCACCTCTCGACACAAAACCTTCTCCCTCTCTTCTCTTCGACGGGATCTTGATATACAACCGATTTCTCAAGAAAGCCGGTCTCATAGATCTTTTCCACACCCTCAAAAAGTCTTCGAATTCATAAAAAATCGTCATCATGGTGGGGCTTGGTCCAAGAAAGCCGCCTTCCCGAAAGGGTACGTATCAGTGTTTCTTTGCTCTATTGATGGTGCTGCTGTCGAAGCGAGAATGAGGGCATTCGGGATTCGGAGCCTTTCTCCCCCTCTCCGATGGATGTCATTATCTTTGTTGCTACGCATCTTCGCGAACTCTGCTTTTTTGCTTTTCCACCTTGCACTTTTTACCCCGCGGTCAACAAACAGCAACACCACCACTTCAACCGATCTCTGTTTGCAATTACCACACTCTCAGCAAGCTGTAATTGCACCATGGACATTCAATCACCCCACAGCCAAAAGAATAGCAGCAATACAGGTTATGAATTTCAAGCTTTCTGCATGTCGTCACTTTCAAACTCCACCCCTGTTAAACTTCGGATACCTGTGGACCAGACAAGCCGATCTTTGTGTCTCTTGCCAGAAATTCAGAGTTCGGATTGCTGCTTGTTTGCTTTAAATGGCGATGTGTTCTTTGGCAATGTTGACGCGCGATTCAATGTTTGCTTTTGATCTAATCAATCAAAAAAAGCAAGCAGGCTTGGTCCTTCATCACGTGGGGATGGGTTCTTCTTGTCATTTTGTGCTGGCTATTTTCCCTCTTATGCAAAGCGCTTTCCTACATGATTGAGAATGGTTGGGAATGATTCTACTGACATTCAACCCCAGGTTCGATGGCAGACGTCCCAAAGGACTTGGTCAATGAAATCAAGAGACTTGAGGAGTTGTTCACCGTCCCCAAGGAGAAATTGAAGAGCATCACGGACCACTTCATTAGCGAACTCGATAAAGGTACGTCTAACTTTCACCAGTTTTTCAGTTCAGCCTCTCTAATGAGAACCAGGTCTTAGTGTCGAGGGCGGTAGCATTGTAAGTTGGCATACTCGACCACTTCAACCGTGGCCGGCGCTAACCGAAAAATAGCCTATGAACCCAACTTGGTGCATGTCCTTCCCAACTGGAGACGAAACTGGAACTTTTTTGGCTCTTGATATGGGTGGAACTAACCTGAGAGTTTGCGAAATCATCTTGACTGATCAGAAATCCGAATTTGACATCATCCAATCAAAATACCGTATGCCAGAAGAACTAAAGACCGGAGAGTCTGAGGAACTTTGGGAGTACATTGCGGATTGTCTTCAGCAATTCATTGAGTATCACCATCCAGATGAGGACTTGGAAAAGCTAAACCTAAACCTTGGATTTACCTTCTCCTACCCCGCCACTCAAGATTACATAGACCACGGTGTTCTTCAACGTTGGACTAAGGGTTTCGATATTGCTGGTGTCGAGGGTGAAAATGTTGTTCCTATGTTCGAGGCTGCCATTGCCAAGAGAGTAAGTTGTATCTCGAAACTTTCCAAATCCAGATCTAACCTGATTCTAGGGTGTTCCTATCAAACTTACCGCTCTCATCAACGACACCACTGGTACTTTGATTGCCTCGGCATACACTGATACCAAGATGAAGATTGGTTGCATTTTTGGTACTGGTTGCAACGCAGCTTATATGGAGAACTGCGGATCGATTCCAAAGATTGCCCACCTCAACCTCCCACCTGACACTCCAATGGCAATTAACTGTGAATGGGGTGCATTCGACAACGAGCACAAGGTTTTGCCAAGAACACCATACGATAACATTGTTGACAAAGACTCCCCACGTCCAGGTCAACAAGCTTTTGAGAAGATGATTGCTGGTCTTTATCTTGGAGAAATCTTCCGTCTCGTCTTGGTTGACCTCCATGAGAACAAGGATATTCACATTTTCCAAGGTCAAAACATTGACAAGCTTCGCAAGGCATATACATTGGATTCCTCCTTCCTTTCCTTGGTTGAAGAGTAAGTCTTTTGCTTCACAACATCCTTTCTAAAGCTAACATAAGCCAAGGGACCCATTTGAGAACTTGTCTGAGACAGCTGACCTGTTCTCCACTAAACTCCTCATCTCCGCCAACCGACCAGAACTTGAGCTCATTCGTCGCCTCGCAGAACTCATCGGTACCCGCGCTGCTCGCCTCTCCGCCTGTGGTGTCTCTGCAATCGCCAAGAAAAAGAATTACAAGACCTGCCACGTTGGAGCTGATGGATCCGTCTTCAATAAATACCCTCACTTCAAGTCTCGTGGTGCTCAAGCTATGCGTGAGATTCTCGACTGGCCTGCGAAGAAGAGCCCCAAGGAGGAAGATCCCATCGAGATCCTGGCTGCCGAGGATGGTTCTGGTGTTGGGGCTGCTCTCATCGCGGCTCTGACTCTGAAGCGTGTCAAGGAGGGTAACATGGCTGGTATTTTGCACCCTGAGAACTTCAAGTCATAGATGGTCGCATTTTGGCAATTTCTTGTTGCTTGGAAGTAACATCTGCTCTTAGATCCGAGGGCTTGGTAGCGTATCTCGTGGCCTCTGAAAGTCGCTTATGATGTGTAAATGACTGGGAGAATTGGTCAAGATAAGCTGAGATGAGATGATAGAGGGTGATTTTTAGGAGTTGCCTTTTTTTCTTGATCTGGCTTCGATTCTTTTGACATGATACAGTTCAATACAATACCATACATTGCCTTGCCTTGCATCCATTCAAACTTCCCTATTCGTGAACCACGCACACCTATCTTCACTTCCCTATACCCCTTCCACCGCCCCTCATCCTAACGTATCATCAACTCTTCACAATAAACCTCCAACACTTCTTCATCTCTTTTTCGCATAGCTCACATCTCACCTCCGATTCCCCGTCCTCATCCCCACCCTCGTTGTCAACCCTTTCTTTCCCCGCCTCAAAAACTTATTTCTGAAACCGGCATGGAACACATTTCCATACGTTTGCGTCGAGTGGCGGGTACATGGTTAGGTTACAGCGTGGGCAGCGTGGGAACGAGATGTCAGCCGAGGATGAAGACGTGTATTGGTTGCATTTGAAGGTGTTGCACCACCAGTGGGTTGTTGGGGTTGGTTTTGGGACTTTTGAGGGTGCGGCGGGTATAGTTTGGTGAAGAAAGTGGTGTTAGGGAGGAAATGGGGAGGTTGGAGAGGGGTTTTATAGGGGTGGAGGAGTGTGTGGGAGTGATAGGAGGGGGGTATTGTGAGGATTATGGGTGGAGTAAGTGATTCATGTTTTGGGGAGGGGAGGAAGGGGGTTGTAAATAACTTAGTATCTTCGATGGACCTTTCAGAGTATTTTCTGAATGGAATTCTCAGGTTTCTTAGATATATCGGTAGGAAGGGTGGGTTTCTCTGTGTGCATATACCATGAAATCACATTACCAATCCCAAAAGAAATGGTAGAAGGGAGTTGTTTACTGATGTTGAAGTGTAGTGTATATGTATACCTTTGTTGACGAAAGTACGAGTAGCTTGTTTTGAGAGTTTTGGGTGCACCTGCTTTGGTTTCGTTCTATAGGTTTTGGGGGACGGGGAATGACGTTTTATGGGACCTTGTATATATACCCTCAATAACGCCTCTTGAATCTATGGTACCGTATAGATTTCTGTTCAAAGGTCCTTGGGAACGTAAGCCAGGTTCGAGATCTGTATTCGTACCTTTTCGACTTGTCACCAGGTTGTATTTGTGCCTCCTCTCATACCTAGGTACAGTACTCAAATAGAGAAAAGGGCACTGGGCAGTCGCCACCAACCAACCACCCAACCAACGACACCCAACGTGAAGGATCTTTGTTCCAACAAACACTAGAGCTCTGATCCTGACTCCAGATTTGCTCGTCGTTCGTCAAATCCCAATTTTTATACGTGGTGACTAACTGACACCCCAGACTCAGACAATGAATCAGCTCCACACCATACTGGGAAGACTGTGAATACATCAAACCAACCCAACGCAACCCTATCAAATCACAGCTCTAATAAAGTATAATATAAAAACCCCATCTATCTCGAGTTCCCTCTCTATGCATAAACCTAAACTTCCCAAACACACTAAGGCAGCAAACATCCCCTACACGCAGGAACCCAACCCACTCAGTTACCTAGAAAACAATGAGAAAATCATGCTCAAATCTTCACAATCAAAGGTCCTCGCAGTCACTTTACCACTTCTTCCTACGTCCCCGCCATCGACGCGTTATTCTCTTGATACAAGGGGGGAATGTAGTAGCTTTTGCACTCTAGGGAAATATTGTTTTCGTGAGGGGTGGAGGGGGAGGAAATGTGGATTTTGTGGGACTGGGCGGAAGAGTGGGTGTTTTGGGGTAAGGAAGATTAGAACGGGTTTTGATGGTAGAGGGGTGAGGGGGTGGTGGGATGGGAGGGTAGGGATGAAGGAGTGGATTTAAGGGGTGGTTTGCGGTGATTGTTGGGTATGAGTTCTTGGCTTAATACTGTAGGCTCAAAACTTTGGAGATTTTGAAATGACGAGCGTTTCTGAGTTTTTAAGGTATTGATTACTTCATTCTTTATTTGACACCTGTTAGAACCTACATGGGATCATACCCTGATAAAACAGAAATCACTCCATCGAGAGTAGAAATTAAGTAGCAGGATTTATAGTGAATAAGGATGAAGGCTTGGTAAGCTACTTACTCGTATAGTAGGATATATATCCCACCCTACTACTACTATATGCCTTTAATACTACTACTACTATAATATCTACTATATCATTAGCTATACCTTTGTAAGCTCTTTTGTCCTACCTATATTCCCCTCGCTAGAAGGCTCGCCTTATAATTTAGGAGGGTTTTATAGACCGAGTTCGTTTATACCCCCGAAAAAAGTACGTTTTTATACTTCTTTACCTATCTAGCTAAAGCTATCGCCCTACTCTATACTTTATGTTTCACTAAATAAAGCCTTTAAATTAGTCTATAATATAGTCGAAGTCTAAGAGGTACTTGTTTGTCCTACTTATATTCCCCTCGCTAAAAGGCTCGCCTTACAATTTAGAAGGGTTTTTAAACGCTAGTTTAGTTCGTTTATACCCTTAAAAGGGGTACGTATACTACCCTACTTTATACTTTATATTTTACTAAGATAAAGCCTTCTAATTAGTCTATAATATAGTTAATGTCTAAGTACTTAGTATTAGTTAGTTAAACTACCCCTGTAAGGGATACAAGGCCGAGAGTGCTTATTCTTTACTTTCTACTTACTTTATTGTAACGAATACTCAAACTGGCTAACTAAACTTGGCTGGGTGTTCGCTGGTTGGTATGCTATGATAAGAAGAAGACTAACGGCTTGTTCACTTGGAAGTGAACTCGTTACTTGTATCAAAGATGTCAAACTAATATGATAAGATTGATAACTAAGTTGAGCACGAAGCTCCTATCTAATGGCAGACGTGCCAGTCTTATATAGAACCTTCGTCCCCGTGGATCTGGGGATCCCCCAGATCCTTTGCCTGGATCTTGGGATCCTCAAGATCCCAAGATCCATCACGTGACTACATACAAATGAAATCCTTGGATCGCTTAGCTAGTCTAGCCGATCCCTGTTCGCTATAAGAGCATGATAGTGCTTAACCTGTCAGGACGCCGCCTGGTCTTCACTCGTCACATGCTAACACGTGATTCGTGACATTTATATATAAGCGAATTATAAGTACTTAAAGCTAGCTAGTAATATAAAAGAAAACTAACAATAAGCCTTATTTAATGTGACGTGTGCCGACTGATAATTAAACATAAATCTATTGAATAAATAGCAATCCATAAGCAGTCTTGGTAGGTTCGACCACGAAGATATCTAAGAACGCTTTAAGCTCTATTCTGCTATTGTTTGTCATGTTAGTACTAGCCTCACGAATACTGATACAGTATGACAACGACGAAACAATAATACTAGACTTGAATTCCTCCAGCTTCTTGTGGATTTTTACTTACTATCCGCTCGAAATGGCCACATGTTTGCTTCGCCATTTCACTAGCTTGGCGTACAACAAAAGTCCTGGCATTATCTGATTATCAAGGTACTTATTTATCATACCAATATTAGCTATACCCCTCAAAGAAATCGGCTTCGACGTCATATTGCCTGAAGTGCTGTGCAAACTGTATTTCCCGTGACCGCAACCACGACATTGACTAGTCAGTCCTCATAAAAGGCAGTATCAGCAATCAAAATTGCGTACAGCCATCGCTATCAGGTCCTAGGAACTACTTGGAGCCATGGAACTTGTGATCTTGTAGGAAGGATAGAACAGTGAAACAGTTCTAGTAACTACGTATTTGTAAAAAATGGAATTAGTAATTCTAGGTATTAAGCCTCACAACTCGTAGGAGCCGAGATAAGCAGAATGAATGACGAGAGTTTTCCAAAGTGCTGATCTTCCTATATACCGAGGGGCCCCTTAATTATGCTACAGTAAGCGTTAAGCGAGATGTGAAGCTAAGCGATTTTACCAGCGCCAGTGTCTCCCAAAGTGGGATTGTCAAAGGCTATCAAAATCGTGAATCTTGAAACAAATGACGCAAAAGATTTCAAATTGGTCTCCTTTAGACATCGAAGAATGATGGTCAGAGTTGTGCCACCCATCCCATCCTCCCAGGAAACCACCAAAACTCGACCAAATCCCAAAAGTCCTCTACGCGTCAACACCCCTCGTATCATATCAGCAATGACCAAAAAACCCTGCATTTGCGCCAACTGAACAACACTTTGTCACGGTTCCACTCCGGCATTTAGTAAAAGCTGAACCATATCCAACGGACCACTCTTGCCTACTCCCTCCAACGCTGTTCTACCATGAAATCTGGAACCTGATGCATTCGAATCCGCACTTCTTTCAAGCAGCATCAGAGCTCCTCTCTTATAACCGTATGATGCTGCCCCCTGGAGTGCCGTTAAACCGTATTGGGATGATGACGGAGGATTGACATCTGCGCCTTCTGCCAGTAAGAGCTCGATTGTTTCCAAAGAGGGTTGTTTGGTGTAAGTAGCCGCTTGGAGGGGAGTTTTACCTCGAGGAGCATTGAAGTCCGTCCCCCTATTGAGTAAAAGCTTACTATATCTCTATCTAGACGTATTGCGAGCTGGAGGGCGGTCGTCCTGTTTTCGTTGTGAGGTTCCCAGCTACGATCTTCGTTCGGATCTGTTCATTGGTTCAGCAGAATTTAACGACTGAACAGTAATTTGTTCTCTTGAATAGTATTGCATGCATAGCTAGTCGTAAAGCTGACTGACAGGCTAGCAATTGCGCGCCAGGAGGAGGGTTTTTATACCCCGTCCACAAAGTCGTCTTTACGCTTGCATCAAGCGAGAACAGACATTCTACCAAATTCAGATTGCCTAGACTTGAAGCAATTTGAAGCGCTGGGGACAAATATTTTGACTTCTTTGTCATTATCCACCGACATCAACTGCTAATTTCCTGTTTCCACAAAATCATCGAAGTCCCACAGATTAACAACTCCGAATACTCGGGATATATGCACATTCTCAAAATTGACCATACATCCAGCCTCCATCAACGGCCTCGCTGCAACGAAATCTCGAAGACGAAAAACAACTTCAAGCGTATGCTCTCTCTCTAAACTCCGCATGAATGACAGCTAAGATCCTCATACTGCAACTGTCCCATACCCCCCAGTAGAACGCGGAGAGCTCTTTTGGCTACCTCATGCTCCTGTGGGCAAGGCAATCTTACTTAGGAATATCATCTAGTACGCATGCCGCATGAACACCTCTATCCACTAAAAGTGTGGCTGTCGTCGCGTCTCCTCTTCGTGCTACAAGTCGTAGGGCAAATTTCCCGCCACTTTCACTTTGTTAGGCGCTTCCTAGCCCCCTTGCTTGCTAGCGCTAGATACTCTGCTATTAGGCCATGAAGGAGGGTTTGAGCAACTTCAAGGGAACGATAGTCATATTTGCTGAAAGCAATCATGTTTACCTCAGCCCCATTTTCGACGAGGAATTTCCAATACCACCAAGTCCAGAGTATCCTCCTTGATAGCGGCGAATGAGGCACCTACGTGAAAGGTGCTCAAAATCATTCTCATTATACAGTTCTTCAAACTTATTCTTTCCCACGAAATCCGTACAGTAATAAAATACCTCCACCTCCCCCTTCAAATCCCTGCCCATTCAAATCTATTAATGCACAAGATCCGGGAAAGAGCATAATTATCAATTACCTAGGCACTTAGCCTAATAGAACCTCACCAATAAAAATCTCTAGAGATATTAAAATTAACTATCATTTTATATTTCTGTCAGCATAGCTTCTGCTGTCTCTGTCGTAGGTATAGAGACCGAATCTATCGATGGTGTGAAAAGTCACTCACACCATCCCGGTCTCTTCTGCAAAATCGACAAGATCCTCTCGCCTAATAAAATCCCCATCTTCTCATACCCCGCTTCCGTGAAATGCAAGCCATCATCCCACAGCCTTTCCTGTTCCGAATCCGACAGAGAGTGGTACGGCATCGCAGCATGGAGGTCAAGGATCTCACTATGTGTGTATATATCGTAAGTCATTATCCTATCCTACTGTACCTCACCCTACGTACAACAATATGGAAGTATGGAAAATTCATCAATGGGAGCAAGGGAAGAAGGGTACATCTTACATGTCCTCATTATCCCCAGCCCATTCTTTCAAGCCCGCATTCACGAGATCACGGTTCTGGTCCAGCCAGGTGGCTCGAGAAGCACTTTGAGGGATGGTCATTAGTAGGACTTTTGCACCGGTTGCGAGGGGAATGGAGAGAGTGGATTTTATGTCGGTTAGGATGTCGGAGGACGGTCGGCGGTGGCCGAGGTCGTTTGTTCCGCCGAGGAAGATGATGGGGGTGTAGGGTTTGGGGAGTTGGTCTGTGGGGGTGGGTTAGAAGGGGTTGTTGTGGAGATGATTGGGGAAATTGAGTGAAGGGAGGGGGCGAGGGGGGGTGAGGGGGAGGAATATGTGGTTAGGGTTGAGGGGGGAGTGGATGGGGTGAGGTGAGTTTGAGTGTACGAAACTCTGAAGGGTATACAAGAAATAAACATTCTATTAATAAAGTGAAAAAGATGTCCAAAAATCAAGAGAAGAATCTTACATAAACCCCTCATCCTCCTCTCCATATCCCTTACTAACTGACCACTCACACCCTTTGTCGTAATCTCAATATCCCATTCCTTGACGGCCTCTTTTCCTGTTCCTCCTCTTACACGATCCTCATTCTTCTTCTCTCTTGAATCGGAAGACTTTGGAGAATTGGGAGAATTCAATCCCTTCTCTAATACATTTCTTAATGTGTCACTGTACGGTTTGAAAATCATTCCCCAGTTGGTGTAGCCTTCTGTGAGGGAGTCGCCGAAGCAGAGGATTTTCAACGACTTCTTTTTGGTGTCGCCGCTTGTTGGTGAGAGGTTGTTTTCGGTCATGATGAAGTGAGAGGAAATGGATGGTATCTGTGAGGTGGTGGATGAGGAGGATTTTGTGTTGTGAGTTTGAGAGTTGGTGTGGTTGGTGGTGTATAGGCATAGTTAAGCAGCAGGTTCGTTGTTCGTTGGGAGTATTAACAAGAGGGTGACAGAGAGAGAGGAAAAGATAGAGTTATTTCCTACAGAGTTCAAAAGGGAGACACACGTTCTGAACGAATCTATTATACTGTTTATGTATTTTCACCAAGCATTGGAGTCTTAGGACTAGGCAGCTTGAGGTGGAGATGACTGTCAAACTTATCTTCTCGCTAGCACGTAGTCGTGACAATCGTGGGCATCCGCAAAAATGGAGGGGCACATTTCAACCCCGCCAAAATTTCCTCCCCAAACCACCAACAACCCACCAACCTCGAACTCCCACCAAGAAACATGGACGATCCAGCATTCGAAGTCGAGGTAGACACCAATACCCAAGAAATCCTCCTCCACGCCTCAAACCACGACGTCCTCGCTCTCAAACCATTCCTTCGCATCCCGGGAAATGCATCGGTGCAAGATGCAGAGACGGGATTCACGCCTTTGCATGCGACGATTGCTGCTTGTGGGCCTGCTACCTCGACTATACATACAAATGAGAAGGGGAATGGGGATGTAGAGAATGGGGATGGGAAGGAGCAAGAGGTAGACATGGAGAAAGCAAAGAATACGGTTAAAGAATTGTTCCTGAGTGGTGCGATATGGAATGATCTCGACAGTAATAATGAAACGCCTGGGTGTTTGGCTTGGAGATTGGGAAGGAAGGAGTTGTATGAGCTTTGTGTTGAGGCGGGGGCTAGGGCCGAGATGTTGTTAGGTTTGATGGGGAGGTATGAGGTTCTTGATTCGGGGTCTGAGGAGGAGGAGGAGGATGAGGAGGAGGACGATGTGGAAGTGGTGGAGGGAGATGTTGAGATGGAGGCTGGGGGTGAGGATACCAAGAAAGAGTCCACGGAGAATGGAGAGAAAGAATCGACTAAACGCGATGTCAACTCGAAGGATTACCTTGCTTCAACCCTCAAGTTTGAAGATGGGAAATTGCTGGATGGAGATAATAATGGTGTGATGATGGCTTGGGAAACCGAGATCATGACCCGATCCGTCGCCTCTCTTCTTCCACCTTCCTTCTCTACCGGTCAAAGAATCCTTAATATCGGTTTCGGAATGGGCATCATCGATCGCATGTTCGCGGCTTCCAACCCTACCATCCACCACATAATCGAAGCCCACCCCTCCGTCCTCAGCAAACTCGCCGACCCAGACCACGATTTCGGCCCCAAATGGGAAAGCAAGTCAGGAGTCGACAACAAAATCCACGCCGGGAAATGGCAAGATATCGTGCCTAGACTCCTTGAACAAGGCATGGTGTACGATGCCATCTACTTCGACACGTTCGGCGAGGATTACAGCCAACTTCGAAATTTCTTCACCGAATACGTACCGGGACTTCTTGATGAAAGTGGGAGATTTGGATTTTTTAATGGACTTGGGGCGGATAGACGGGTGTGTTATGATGTTTATACTAAGGTTGTGGAGTGTGATTTGAGTGATGCGGGGTTGGAGGTTGAGTGGGAGGATGTTGTGGTTGGGAAGTTGGGAGAGGAGGGGGAGGGGGAGTGGGAGGGGGTGAGTAGGAGGTATTGGGTGCTTGAGGGGTATAGATTGCCGACTTGTAGGTTTTTACAGTAGGTTGTTGAGGAGAGAATGGGAGGGACGAGGATGGGGGAAATGATACCCGTGCTGGGATGCACATAAAAGTAGAATCATGATTTTGAAAATCTGTTCATTTCATTTCATTCCAGCTCGTATAGTACTTTGGAAGCTGTTCATTTGACTCAAGTCGCGGTCACAGCGCGTTATAGATAATAATATTTTCCAAGTCCTACAATGATTCTCTCCCTCCTCCCTCCTACTATAATACACACATACTAAGCCAAAATACACCTTTCATCATAACTACATTATCTCCATCATAAACACTTCCCCTACTCACGAAATAACAAAAATACAAAATCAGAAAAATAGACGTTACCTCGCTACTAACGAATCATAATCCTCTACTTACCTAGTTACTTATAAATCCTACTATAAACATTACATTCTATATATAGTACTCTACCTACTATAAAGCTAACTCGTATATACAAGCGCTATGTTAGAGCTAGCTCAGATAAACAGACTCGGACGATATTATATCGAATATACGAGTATATCAAGAATCTGGAGGGTAATCGACAATCTATCGATTATCATAACACATGAATTATTTCATATTAGAAACACAGTAAATCCGGACCCACACCAAGAAGAGTGCTTTAATCGTAAATTCGTCAGTACAAGTAAAAGGAATGGATCAACTTCCAAGCAAAACAGCAACTAGCTTTCATCCCCCGCCTCAATGATCATTAGTGAAAAAGAGCCAATCCCAACATGCAATATACAACAGTAACCCAATCACGACTACCCAGCTCTCGAAAGTACCATACAGTACATTCACTTTGCTCTCTTCGTACAGCACAAGGAAAAGTGCGATTACCAACTTACTCAGTCTAGACCGCTGGCTCACAAGGTCAAGGGCTCTCCTCCCCAAGTTCTGACCACCATTCACATTTTCATGGCGAGCATCCCAGAAGGGTTACAAGATGACAAGTTTACTGACAAATGAAATGTGCTATTCGAATTCATACAAAGGCATAGATACGTACAATTACCCACCAATCTATCTTACAACCTTACCTCCCCAAATATGCATCAACGCCACTCATGCCCAGACCAGTCTCGAACCCTTCAATGCCGTTTGGGTCTTCCTCATATTACACACATACCCAGTCCATCATCCATGCAAACCGCTAACCGATGAGCGACACCGTTTTCCGGGATTTCATGTTCAGATATACTCCCTCTCCTTCAACTCAAAGCCCATATTCAAAGCTACAGCTACGAACAAACATACACATAGTGCTGTAGGTCCAAACTGATCGTGATATTTAATCGCCTTTCTCGTTCTGATTGCTTGGCTTCTGTACAGATACGTGATGACCGAGTAAGAAAGCGCAAGTACTGCAACAGCAGAGAAAGACCCCGCGGCGAGGAACGACAGTTTTGATGTTTTAGGACCAAAATTAAGGAGTGTTGTGGCAATTGTGCTGATGTAAATAGAGAATTCGAGCTGTGAATAGTTAGCAATGATGACATAAGTGAAGAAGGGAAAGACATACCCAGGATAAAAATGTTCTTTCGGCGGCGAAATATACCTTAGGTTCAACACGAACTGGAACGTGTATTTTCTTGCCTTTAGGAGCCTTGAATCTTTTACTCTCGATTGGACCAGCTCCCAAGCCATTAGCAACACCATTACCAGGAATAGGTGTTGGCTTCGGAGTTGGTATAACTGTCAGAGCAGCAGTAACCAGATTTTGTCCTGCTAATTTGGCATTTTTCTTCAGAACCTTGGAATAATATGGCCATCCACCAATTTGACGGGCTTCCTCCATAGCATCCGCCTCATCATCTTCGAGGTCGGAGTCGTAAAGAGGATATGCTTCATCAAGTGGCAGAGAACTTAGTTGTTCCTCGATATCCAGAGCATTTCCAGTAGCTCGCCCAGCTGTATCTCGATTTTCTAAGTTGTCTCGATTCTCTCGTAGCTGTTGTCGTAGCTGATTCACATTCGCATCGGAACTGTTGCCAGTAGATGGTTTTGCTCGTATCAATTCCCCATCTTCATCGTCCGAGTCGTCATCATCATCATCGCTGGTAGTACTTTGGTTCGAGTGGCCGGAACGTTGAATACCAAAGTTCTGAGTAGCAGGTTTTCGGATATCAACATCCATTTGAGGCATCCAGAATGGCAGTAGATGAATCCGAGTAGGGAAAAGAGTTGCCGTTCCATGGATGAACTTTGAGAATTTTGGCACAGCTTCTACCAAATGACTTGCAATAAGTTCGCGAACCCAAGAAGGTGGTTCTTGACCGGCTTGTGTTTGAAGCTTAACTTCGAGAATCGCGTACGGGAATCGTTCCACGTCTTCTGGTGGCAATTGGGAGAATGGGTAATCGATACCAATATCCATTCGTCTCCAATTCTTACCAGCTCTGTCCCGCCCATCAAGGTTGTCTTCACGGACCATAGTAAGCTCTGAATCCAATGAAATACGAACGCGAGCATCTGCCGGGAGTTGAAAAGCAGTTCGGTTGTAGAACGATCGGCACAAAGGCTTATATCCTTTCTTGATTACCGAGTATTGAACTTCCTTGGCAAGTCTCTCGTCTTCGTCGATAACCTTGGCAGGTTTCTTATTGTCCTTTCGAGCCTTTTCGAAGATCGCCTCTGGAAGTAAATCCCCCTTCATGTATGCATTCACGTTCTTCTCTTTCATGGCAAATCTTGCCTTGACGGATTTCTCACCAGTCCAATCTTCCCGATGTGTCTTTCTTTCCACAAAGATTGTCTCGGTGTCCATGCCACCATACCATCTCAGGCGAATGGCTTCCGCGCCTTCTGTCTTTTTCAGCCGCCCCTCGTATAAATCAAATTTCTCAGGATTGTCATAGTAGATGGAGGTAATGGCGGAATCCTTTGCATCGAATTCTTTGGCAGTATTGAAGACAAGGACAGGCAGATGCTGGAATATGTTAGCACATTGTTGTTGCTCCTCGAAATCTGCACAATTTACCTTCATGATGATAAGTTTCACTTCCGTGACATTATCCGGGTGGATCCAGTATTTGGTGGTCTGTCGAATGAAACTTCCTTGGCTTCCACCAGCAGAACTATCACCCTTCACTGGATTTCCTCTGGTTCGCACGATATCCCACAACTTCGACAACTTGACAATATCCGCATCGTAGTTGTCCTTGAAGAATGGCTTGGCCTTTAGTCTTGTTGCAAAGACTGGCTTCAGGATCCAGCGTGTTTGTTTCTACCAATATCAGTACAACCATCTCGGCCTGGCGGACCCTACTCACATCATGCTTCTTGATAATCTTCTGGAATCCGGTATAGTTCAATTGCACAAACTTGGCCAGGTCGTTTACATCTGCCGTGATTTCGTTCAAATCCTCCTCCAGCATCATAAATTCTTCTTCCGTGGGAGCATCGTCATCGTGACCGGTCGTGCCATCTCGTCCTACCGGGCCTCGACTGTCCAACCGCGACACAATATCATTGACTTCCCGCTCGGTACTCTGTATCCGGCGGGAAATTTCAATGACCTTGAGCTTCTGCTTCGAATAAACCTTGTCCAACTCCAACTCGATTCGGGAAATAAATGCGCTTTCGTCCTCCTCGGTCCATTCCTGCCTTTTGGGCTTCGGGTTTTCTTTGGTAGGCTTGGTGACGAAATCCTTCTTCAAGGCCTCTTTCAGCTCATCGTATGCAATGTAGTACCATTGATACTCCTTGATTGCGCTGGAGCGCAGCTGCTCGCCGAATTTCATCACGACCTGGCCGGGCTTGATTCGTGGACGTTGGCGTTTAAAGCTTCGAGTCGAGTACGAGTACCAGGTACTGGTTCTGGCCCTGAGGTCTACAATGTTCAGTAATCTTGGTATATATGCCATGAGACCATGTTGGGTGGATGTTGGCCGATTTGGATATGGATTTTGGAGGTATATGTGGGGGGCATAAGGTGATGATGGGAATTGATTATCAGTGTGATGGTGAGGTATGGTGAGGGGAGGGGAGGGGAGGGGAGGGGAGGAGAGGAGAGGAGAGGAGAGGAGAGGAGAGGAGAGGAAAAGCTACCTGTGGAAGAATGGGACGGTGAGGCAGGGCAGGCACAAAGTTGATGCACTCACTCTCACTCTCACTGGAGCGATATACCCGTAGACTTACCTAGGTACTCCGTACCAGTATGCGCAATCAAGTGAAACCCTTTTGGAGTGACGAAGTCTGTCCTTCGTTGCGGCGGTTGGCGTGGCGGGCAGCGTTGTTTCTTGCCTTGCGCAATACTTGATGCTTTGTGACTGGGAAGCTCCAAGAAGAATTGGCCAATGGCGTGGCGCAGTGAAGTACATGCCCAACAGGGGCCATCCATGTTTTCTTTTTTTTGCCCGTTACGCTAGCTTATCGCCATGTCACATGCTCCGATAACCACAACAATCCAATGCAGCTGGTCTGCGTATTTTGTATACTTTTTACAACACCTTTCCCCGAAATCAACAACTCAATCGCTTCAATTCTCGCCTAATCATTTTCCAACCAGGTCTTAAGACTTAATGATCAATTACAAGACCCACCTTCATCACTGCTATCAAAGTATTTTCGGCTTCTCCGTTCTTTGTTTTCTGTTCACAACGTCTGTTACATACAAGTTTTCCCTAGTTCTTTCTATATCTCCTCGTCACGTTGCATCTACTGTACATTTCGATTTTTGAGTTGGCGATTTCCTATTTAAGCGTTCGGAGAGGTCGGAATAATGCCTAGGCGCGCTACAGGGCTTGGCCCGACTAGCTCCGCACCAATTAGACTATACTCAAGTATTGTTGGGTGCCAAGACTTAAAGTGGGCATCGCTAACCCAAAATTCGAAATATATATATAACGCGTCTAGGAGATGAATCAAATAAATAATATAATGATTCTAATTTTACTACTATTAATAGTACCTAAAAGCTCTATAAACGTTCATTTTTCCTATAGTAGGAAAATATAGAATCTCCTTTTCTAGTCTAACAGCTAACATTTATGTATCACTGACCGGTAAACAAGCCTTTCATTCGTGAGGTGTAAGAAAAATGGAGGGTCCCAAATCAGACCTTTTTCTCATATTTTATGAGATATAATACCCACAGATAAACCTGGATATAAGCATAACCTCGTTTATATCCTTAAATTTTGGGTCCCGACTTTTTTGGTGTATATACAGGTAAGACCCTCGCTATAAGGATAACCTCGGTTATATCCTTACGAAACTTGCCCCCACGAATATCCATATATTCAGGTTTAAGTTATCTGTAAATGTATTATATACTCTGTTTCCTATAACGTGCATGTATAGCGAACTGGCCAAACAAGCGAACCGGCCAAAACCCGGCGACCCCACCACACCTCCACGAAATATTAAATTTCTCTACAACGAAGGATGCCTCTGAAAAATGACGAAAGCCGGTTAGTCTTAGCTATCCAAGCTATGCACAAAGACCCAAATTTACGTGCTCGAGCTGCTGCCAGGACCTATTCTGTAGACTACCGGAAGCTAGGTCGACGTTTGCTTGGTATACCTTCACGACGCGATATTTTAGCCAATTCACGGAAAATGACCGAGCTAGAGGAATCAGTACTTGTTCAACATATCCTCGACCTAGCTACGAAAGGATTTCCTCCGCGGATATCTGTAGTGGAAGATATAGCAAATCGACTTCTTGAAGCACGCGACGCGCCACGCGTCGGGACGC